ATTGAGATTGGAATTGGATTGGGCTTCACTTGGGGTTGGAATTGGATTGGAGTTGGATTGAGATTGGAATTGGATTGGGCTTCACTTGGGGTTGGAATTGGGGTTGTGGTTGGAGTAGGGTTAGGGTGAGGTGGGTTGGTTGGTGGGTTAGAGCAGGGTTGGGGTTGGATTGGGGTCAGAAGAAGGCTGAGGTTGGTTTGGGGTCAGAGCAGGGTTGGGGTTGGTTTGGGGTTTAGGGCAGGGTTGGGGTTGGTTTGGGGTCAGAGCAGGGTGGGTTGGGGTTGGTTTGGGGTTTAGGGCAGGGTTGGGGTTGGTTTGGGGTCGGAGCAGGGTTGGTTGGGGTTGGTTTGGGGGTTTGGGCCCCCCAGCCCTGCCGTGCCCCGCAGGCGGTGAGTCGGAGGAGGAGATCCGCAGGGTGGACGTGCTGGAGAACCAGGTCATGGATTTCCGCATGAGCCTCGTCATGGTTTGCTACAGCCCCGACTTTGTGAGTGTCCCACGGGCTGGGGGACCCCCAGCGGGGACAGGACCCCCGGGGTGGGGTCTGGGGGGCCCCCCCTCACCCCTTCCTCCCGCAGGAGAAGCTGAAGCCGGGATACCTGGAGCAGCTCCCGGGGAAGCTGAAGCTCTTCTCCAACTTCCTGGGGGACAGAAAGTGGTTTGCTGGGGACAAGGTACCGCCGGGACCCCCTGGGGCTGGGGGGGCTGGGGAGGGGCTTTGGCCTCACCGTGTCCCCCCCTGTCCCCAGCTGACCTTCGTGGACTTCCTGATGTTTGATGTGCTGGATCAGAACAGGATCTTCGAGCCCAAGTGCCTGGAGCCCTTCCAGAACCTCCGGGACTTCATGGAGCGCTTCGGGGTGAGGGGGGGTCACGGGGGACCTCACGGGGATTGGGGGGTCACAGAGCCCCCTGTTAAGGGGGACCCTGGGGAGGTTGGGGGGGTTGCAGAGTCCTCAAAGTAAGGAGGACCCCGTGGGAACTGGGGTGTCACGGAGCCCCCAGTGCAGTGTTTGGGGGTCTGCACCCCGAGGGCACCCCTGGGTGGGGGTGGTGCTGCGGTGGGGGGGTCCCTGATGGCCCCCGTGCCCCCCCAGGCCCTGGAGAAGGTGGCTGCCTACATGAAGTCCCCCCAGTTCCAGAAGATGCCCATCAACAACAAGATGGCCAAGTGGGGCAACAAGAAGCTGTAGGGGCCAGGAGAGTGGGGGGGGGGTTCCTGTCCTGGCCCCCCCAGACCCTCCATCCTGGGGGGGGATCGGCCCCGCCGGCGTGAAGCCCCCCAAGATAATAAAGAGCTGTAGAAGTGGCACCTCCCGTGTGATGGCACTGGGGGGCACCGGGGTGGGAGGAGGGGGGTGTGGGGTGTGGGGGTCTCTGCCCCGGGGTGTCACCCCCCCTTCCCCGGCTGGTTTGGGGGGCCCGGGCTGAGCCCTGTGCTGCCCCCAGGGCCCCCCGGGAAAGGGGCCCCGCCCGCCTCATTAGCACATTGCTAATGAGGCCTCGCTCACAAAGGCTGGGGGGAGTGTTGGGACTCTGCCACCCCCGCAGGGCGCTGAGCGGGGTGGGCTGGGGACACGGGGACAGCGCTGTCCCTTGGGGCCCCTCGTGCCACCGCCCCCCGGTGCGAGGGGCATCGCCCCCTCCCTTCCCCAGGCGGGGACACGGGGGGGGTCCCTCGGGTCCTGCTGGGGGGGAAGGGCCTTGTCCCCTCCCTGCCCTGTCCCCCCCATCCCTGTCCTGTCCCCGCCCCCCTCCCTGCCCCATCCTTGTGCCCCTCCCTTCCCTTGTTCCCCTGCCCTGTCCCCATCCCTGTCCCTGTCCCCATCCCCCTTGCTGCCCTGTCCTTGTCCCTCTCCCTTCCCTGTCCCCTCGTCCCCCCCGCTCTGTTCTTGTCCCCCTGCCCTGTCCCCATCCCTGTCCCTGTCCCCATCCCCCTTGCTGCCCTGTCCTTGTCCCTCTCCCTTCCCTGTCCCCTCGTCCCCCCCGCTCTGTTCTTGTCCCCCTGCCCTGTCCCCATCCCTGTCCCTGTCCCCATCCCCCTTGCTGCCCTGTCCT